AAGGAGTTGCTGGCTCGACCTCTTGTCTCCTGGGAAAGCCACAAGCCTTTGTGGGAAAAGGTGAGATCCTTTTTCAACAACGGGGTTAATTAGTGGCTGATTTTAGACCGTACTTTCTGGTTATATCCTATATGCACCCATGCCATCCTGCCTGTTTTTGAGAGGGAAATCAGTGAAATGAGATTCCCACCTGAAAGAACCAAAGCCTTTGCGTCTGTCAGAAACCCTTTTGAATTGTGACAGCCTAACAAGGAAATTGTCTCCATGAATTTGCCATCATTAGAGTATGCTATGACTGGTAGATTTGGCTGTTTCTGAGCTCCCAGGCAGTGAACAGAGCTGGAAGCTGGCGTGGTGGTTCATTCCCAGAGGAGATGGCACACGTGTGCCACTTCGCACACAGGGCCCCTGGCCTGTGCTTTCCTGCCCTGCAGCTCCCGTGGGCCTCAGTGGGAAGTTTAGTCCCTGAGTGCCCTTCAGCCTCAGATTCTGCTGCTGCACCTGCAGCTTAATTAGTGTTAATTATAACAGCAGTTCAGTAAGAACTGGACTAACCCACTCACGGGCAATCCAGAAGTTAAAAGGTGGGAAGGATCGGGATGAGTGTTAGCTCGGGGAACCGGTGCCAGGCTCCAGCCCCGTGGAGCTGTGAGAGAGAGGAGCTGCCTCGTTCCCTGGGTGAGCATCAGCTCCTCATTATCACATCAAAGGCCGTGGCAGAGCTCACTCCTCCACACACCGAGCGGGGGAGTTTATTGCGGAAACTTCTCCTTCCCCTTGTCTGCCTCTGTGCCTACTCCCCAAGGCTCATTTGGATTCGGGGGGATGAATAAGCCCCAAAACACAAAAGGAAGACGAGACAGAGTGGGTGACTGTCACATCAGGGCTCCCAGAGCCTCAGCTGAAGGCTCAGGGGAGGGTGGAGGTGGAGGAGACAATCTTAGACGCTGTTTCCAGCACTGCCTCTTACAACTCTGTTTTCTTCTGGTGGGATGGTCGGTTAGTGGTTGACAAACGGGAAGAGACATCTCTCATTCCAGAGATCAAATTGCACAACGAATTAAAACGCTCCCTGAAGGCACTGCTGCTCCCTCTGCTCTCAACACGAGCAGAGCCTGCAGTGACTGCAGAGCAGGTACCCCCGGCCCTGGGCTCTCAGGGGTCACTGTCCCTTTGGGGAATGAGTTATTTGGGTAATAACGAACCCTAACACTGCCCCTGCGGGTAATGAGTGCCAGGCCAGTCTCTGGTCATCAGGGAGGGGCTCGTTTATGTCCCATGAAACGCCAGGAAAATGGAGGCAATTCCCCATTTGGTTCATGGCAGCTCAAAAATTGGGCTGCCCTGTTTCATACTACAGGAGCCTGCAGAAATTCAGACTGTTCATTTTATAAAAGCTTTTGATATACATTGTTATATAAATCACTCTCCGAGCCAGATATAATTTGAAATTATATCAAAATAAGATTAGAATTTGTTCTACCCACATCTTGTTGTTCAGTTTGTGAATCCAGGAGCTGAGCACTCCACAGTTGCCATAATTCCCCCTGTAAACAACCCTGTGTGTCCTTTGAGCAGAGCAGCACTGCTGTCAGGGCTTGTGAGCACCCCCAGGAACATTAAGATGTTGCACTGAAGTGAAATTTGTGTCTCCATGCTGCTGGAATCAGATAATTCATCCCACTCTAACATAAAGGTCTATTTTAGCTGCCTTCTGATACTACCTGTCTCTGTATCAGTTAGAAGGGAAATGGTGTGGCTGTTTGGACTCAGCCCAGTGCATCCTAAATGGCACTGCCTGTGCTGAATCCCATCCTGAACAGAACAGCAATCCCTCTGCATTTCCACGTTTCCACAGGAGTCCAAAGGCACTCCAACTGTCCTGCCATTTGGTGTTAAGTCCACCCTCTGCAGGTAGCAGATACCTGTAGCTCTTTAACATATTTCAAACTTTTGAGGCCATTGACAACTCTTTCCCCAGCTCAGCAAGGGCACAGTGATGTCACTGACTGCCTGAAGGGTGGTTTCCAACTGGAAAACTGTTTTTAGGTCTGGCTTGTCTTTAATCAGTACAATTTGGAAGATGTCAGTTGAAATAATACATGAAACTAATTTACAGTGTAGGAATGAGGAAGCAAAGTACCAAGCTGCAGAGACTCAGAGCCAGGGAGAAGGTGCTGCCTCCCAGGTGAGCAGATAAATGGCTCCTAAAAGGCCTCTAATGCTGACTAAAGTAGGTACCTCTCAAGTGCCCTGTTTTTTTGTGGCTTTGAGAGGTGTCTGGGGCACCAGCCCCTGTGCCAGGGAGAAACCACGGCACAAAAACGCCCTCACAGTGTGTGCTGGGTGGGCTCTGTGGGTCAGGGCGAAATCGCTGAGCTGGCACTTGGGCAGGGGTGTGGGCACAGCTCTGTGTAACCCCAGGAGGTGGAGAAGGGTCAGAATTATCCACCTGCTCGTGGACAAACGTCCTTAGGGGAGAGGTCTCGTTTCCCAGCTGAAGGAAACGTGCGGGAAGTTGGGGAAATGGAACTTTCTGTAGCCTCAGGGGTTGAGGGGGCTGTGAAAATGCAGCCCCTGCTTTAACCCCTCACGGCACCCCACTGGTGTGGTGTCTGCAGGGCTGGTTGGGAGGGCCGGTGCCAGCAGATGGCAGTGCCTGTCAGAGTTCCACCGTCAGGAAAACAGGGAATGTGCTCCAAAAAAGGTGTTACTGGCGCTGCATGAGGCACGGAGCCGTTCCCAGGCGGAGCCGTGGGGCAAACACTGCCCGCAGCAGTGGCCACACCGTGAGCCCGCTCTGCTCCCCTGGGCCCTCTGTCCGTGGCTGTGGACTCGGGATGTGTTGGATAAGTGTGTGGGGAGGTGGGAAGGAAGACTTCTCCTTGCCTTGACCATGACACACCAGCTCTGCAGCCTTTCAGAGACTGTTCCTCCAGGGTTGCTGGCTGGACAGCACGAAAGGTCCTTCTCCATTTCCTAAATTCATTCTAAATCTTATTAAATGAGATGAAATGAAGGAGGAAGCCGAGCTGAGGCCGTTCTGAAGGTGGCACTGTCCTTAGTGCTGCTGGAGCAGCATCCAGGGACCTGCTCTGAAAGCCAACACTGTGATTTTAGGGGGGACTGACTCTCACACTGGATGAATTACTGCTTAGAACTCTGTAAGGAAGTTTGAATGCTTGTTAAAATACCCAAACTGTTAATGTACTCCCCAAATTGCACTTTTATAACGTTATCATGGACACACTTCTAAAAGGTAAAACTAATACTGCTGCAAAGGCATCCCTGAGAGCTCTGAGCAGGCAGAAGATGTAACATAATTTCAGAGGATTTAATCAGCAGTTTATTACCAGGCCTTTTGCTTTCACTGCAAATGGTTTCACTGCTGATTTGGGTTCAGTCCTTGGAGCTGTTTGCAGCTAATGCTACAACAGGAGCCAGGCTGGCTGGGCTCATCTCACTGCCCACACGGTGCTGGAGTGGGAAATACAAACCAACAAGTGGAAAAGCAAAATTACATCTGCAAACCCAATTTTTAATGGACTAAGTCCTTGGTCTGGCTCCAGATTCTTGTCCCAGCTGGCCAGATCCAACCTCTGTGGTTGGGCTCCGTGAACTTGGACGTCATTTTCAACCTTAATATTTTCTGATTCTGTGATTCCACATAAAGATCAGAGAAGAATTCTGATAAAAGGTGTGTGTTTATGGAGATGGGCTTCTTAACCCAGCCCCTAGGCAATATGATTATTCATAATATTCAAATCTCTGGTTATTTCCCTCTCTGTCTGTGCATTTCTCCAGTCTAGTTTCCATAATAAGGTGTTAATGTAGCCTAGAATTAACCTGATCAGAAACAGGTTTTATGATCTACAGGAAGCTCCACTAGTTCCATTTTTAACCTGTTCAAAAAAAAAGGAATGCAAATAATGGGTTACAAAACGTCCACACAGTAAAACAAAAATGCCATTCCACTGCTGACGTATTTCATTAGTGATAGTGTAATTTAAAAAAAAGTAAACTGAAAATCATTCAAAGCAGAATGTGGGAAAAATAGCTTTAATATTCCAACTATACTGACACATTCCTGCAGTGCTTTGGTTTTGAGAAGTTCTCTTTTCTTGACCAGATAAATCCGTGAAAGCATTTCCGATGGGCTGTAATGAATGTGGTCCCAGAGCAGAGAATTAGGGAGGACAGGAGGACAGGATCAGGGGAACAGGACAACAAAGCCTGGAGGCAACCTGCAGTCACCAGGCAGGTCTGGCTCATATCTGCTGCTGGCCTGACATTTGCTTTTCAGAAAAGAAAATATTTTACTAAGCTGAGGAGACAGTGTGGTATTATCAACGATAAAAAAAAAAAAAAGGAGAAAAAAGAAAAAGATAAAAGAATACAGCAAAGCACTGAAGAACTTTGAGAGCATTCCCTGGATGAATCCCAGGAAAACACCACAACTCCATCAGCAAACACCACGGCAGGAGCTTGATGGTTGACAGGCAAGGGGAGCGTGCCAGAGGAATCATACTGGCCCTCTTTGTCCCCACTTTTCCCAAATCCTTGGTCCAGCCTGGATGAGAGAGTTCCCCCAGTGCCGATGACTATGGACACACGCGGTCTCTGAAATGTGCGGCTCCCTCCTGGTTTTGGGAACTGCTTTCTGTTTGTGTGCTTTTAAAAACACAAGAACACAGCCCCCACCCCCTCAAACCCCATATCCCCTCCAGTAAATCCGGGACAGGAGGTCCCGGGAGGAGAAGGGAACTCGGCGCTCGGGGGAGTGCGAGGGGAGCGCAGCCCCCGCGGGTCGGACCCGAGGATGCCGGAGGTCTTTCCCAGCCCCAAAGCTCCTGTGATCCCGAGCTCCAGGGCTCGGATTCGCCTCTCCCCCTCCTCACCAGCCCTCCCCGCGCTCGGCAGCGCCCAAACCCCTCCCTCACCCTCCCTCCCCMCCTCCGCTCCGGCTCATTCACAACAGATAAGGCGCCGTCACACGCAGCCTCCCCTCCCTCCCCTCTGCCCCAGCCCTTAAAAAGCTTTATACCGCCAAGAATCCCTTGGAACGGGAGAGGCGGGAGCAGGGACAGGCAGGCAGAGGAGAGGCAAAAGTATCTCCGCATCAGCGGAGGGTTTGGAGCAGAGCAGGGAAATCAGGGATACCCGGGGACAGGGGTGTGGGCATCCTCATCCTCAGTGCCACGTAAATGTTCTCTCCTGTCAGGGAAGGAGGCAGGAGGCAGCGCGGGGACCCGAGGACGAGCCCAGCTCGCCGGTGATGGCATGGACCGGCCGCTGCTCCAGCCACGCTTCCCTCGCCCCGCTCCCGCCCGGCTGCCCCCGAGGGCGCGACACTGATGCGGAGCCGCTCGTAGCGAGTAAGTCACCGCATTTCCTTTGTTATCCCAGCTCCCTCCTGCGCTCCGCTGGCTGCCAAGGACCGGGAGCACAGCAGGCAGGAGGACTGAGGTGAAATGTTGGGTCAGCCGAGCGCCAGACTCCCCAAACCCGCCGCGATGGGAGCTGGAGCTGTGCCGCTGTCCAACTCCCCAGCGCCAGGCAACTGTGTGGGAAACCAGGGATGGGATGTCGGTCTTGGGCAAAAGCACCGTCAGATCTCAGAAAGGGATTCTGCAGGAATACACGTTAAAAAATCCACCCTGCTCGGGTGAGAGGAGATCACTGGAATGCAAAGGGCACTGGGAGACTGATCAGTCAGCAGCCCTGAAATGCATGGAGTGACTCCATAATCCTTATCTGGAGTCAAAGATTAAATTCTTTCATAATCAGGATACTTGCCCATGAGCTGAGAGTTTAAAGAGCCCTGGAGCCCAGTCTTCAGCCGATGAAGGGGCACGTTCAGCCCTTAGAGGGGACAGGGAATGTATTGCACTGGGAATCCCTGAGGGGTTCATGGCTCTGGGAGGTAAAACATGACTGATTTTTTTATCCATGTCCTGTTGCATCCCTCACAAAGATGCCTGGAGCTCTCCAGTTTGTCTCAGCACATGCTGGGTGGCAGCCCCATGCTCACTTTTGTACAGCTCCCTTGGCTTTGACTGGAGAGTTTCAGGAGCCAATGAAGAACTGGCAGAAAGTGGCCCTGTCCCAAAAAACTTACCATCTGATTTTGGGGATTCTGGCATCACGCAGCTCCTTCCTCCTACCCCTTTTAGGTAGACCTTGGGTTTGTAGCAGAGCAGCTGAGAGGGAAACCAAACTGGCTTCTCTCACCTGTGCTCTGACCAGTCCAAACCACCAGCATCTCCTGTGGCAGGTGGGGAGAGTGTTTGTGTTGGGGGAATATTCTCCATCTCTGGAAATTTCCAGCCCAATTATTTGCCAAAAAAAGGCAAACAGAGTTTTGGAGTCATGTTCTGAGGCAAATCTCCAGACTCTTTATATAAGTCACCCACTTTCTGTTGGGTTTGAGGTCAGAAGAGGCCCTTGGACGTGTGGGGTGAGCACTGGCACTGCCCCAGCAGTTTGTGTGAGGTTGGTTTGTCTCTCTGTGACCCTTGTCTGCAGTGGGTTGAAGGCCTTGGGGCAAAAAGAGCCTGGGTTTGGTCAGTTCATCTGTGAACTCTTTGGATGCAAGGTACTGGGGAAGTGTGAAGTGGTACAAACAATTTTATTGTATTTTTTTAAGGCAGCTGCCAATTACAGAGTGATTCTCAGGTGCTGTAATGGTGAATTCCTAAACAATGGAGAACAGGAATGTTTGTGCTCTTGGGGCAGAATTTTCCCTTAAAATCGAGGTTCTGCTTTCCCCAATATTCACAATGTTTGCTGTGTGCAAACAGCAGCAGAGACAGGAGTGTCTTATCAGGACAAAGGTGTCTCTTTTTCTTTGTTCAGTGTTGGGTGAAAGACAACAGTCACATTTTCAGTGATGCCATAAGGTGCCCCTAAAAATAGAGACTGGGGTGAGAGGGCAGAGACAGAGAGACTGCAAAGTGCCTCAGGCAGAGTCACCCCCTTGGAGGTGGAAGGATCAAATTGGTTTATTTTCAGGTTTTATTTGTTGGTAGAGAAAATATCTGTTCTAACTTAAGAAAAACACCTAGGAGCATAATATTGTGATTGCATCCTTTGCACAGGGACTTTTTAATGCAGTGAAGTATAAGATAATTAACTGAGAGTTACCTGGATTTTATCCTCCCATCCACCCTATGCAGTTGTGGCACAGCAAGTAGGAGATACCTTTTATCCTGTAGAAACTCCATTTTCTTCAGTCTTTGTGCTATAACAAGTTGTTAAAGCCTGTACACCAGGATCATTATGACAACTCAAAAGGCATTTTCTAATTTTCATCTCTTTTTTTCTGTAAAAAAACCCTACCCCAGTGCATCTTCTCATCAGTTTAGTTTCTCTGGTCTTTTCTGCATAGGTCTGAAGTTATTATATTTGAGGCAACTGAGAGCTCGTGTTATCTGTGGGATTTTTTATGCTTCAGTCCATAGATGGGGGAAAAATCTATTTGAAATCTGTAGAGAGAACAGAAACTGTCTTTCTTGGCACTAGAAATAATCTTCCTAGTTATTCATGCTGATAGATCAGGTTGTGTAGGCTCTGCAGAGCAATCTTTAGACACACCTGAAGCAGGCAGGGACTGTATTCACTGCTGCTGGAGTGGGGAAAGGAGAAAAGAGTTGTACAGTGATTACAGGAACTCATTTAGGATTTTGGAAATGCTAAATTTAATTCCCTGCCCTGCCACAGACTCCTAATATGAGTCTGGAAGAAGCATCTTTGTGACTGACTTCCCCATCTTGAAATATGGGATATAGAACATTTCCTTATTCCACAGCTCTTGGTAAATACATAAATAGAATTTGAAAGCCTGTGAAACCTGTGTTGAATGCTGGGAAACACTTGGATACTCTGGGATTGGAAGGGTCCCACTGGTACCTCACAAATGACAATGAAAGGGCTCAGGGATATTAGAGCTGGGACTATCCAGCATTGCTGGGGAGAAGGATGGATTGGGAGGTAATTAGCAGGTAAAATTAAAGTACAAATGCCCATGGACTCTTTCTTTGTGTCATATTAGCTCCCTGGCCAGAGGGAGTTTGTTTGGAAAGACAGAACACCTTCTGTTTGGGTGTTTCTGAGCCAAATGGACTCTGGGCAGACAGGAGCCATCAGCAGCCCAGCTCTGGGACAAGCACAGAGTCCTCCTGCTCCATGAGGACCATCAGTCACCCAGTCTGTGTACTGGGGGGGTCTCCTCCAGCCCCAGAGGAACTCCTTTGTGTGATGAAAGCAGTGCTGAGACACCAAAAACGCAGAGGAAATGAGGGGCATCGTCCCCCCTCAGTGCTGGGTGAGGTTATGAACAGGAAATATTGGGCTGAGGAAGCTTTTGAGCCCCATTTATTAGTGAAGTGCCCCAGGTCTCCCTTCCTGTGCAGTTTCTTTCAAGCTTTTGCCCTGGTTTTGAACAGCAAACTCGTTCTCAGCCCCCCCTCCACCTGTGGATCCCCAGGCACTTCCCAAAGAGGCACCACCACAATCTCTGTTAATGTGAAGTCAGAAAAGCAAAAGATTACGTGATTTACACAAAATTTACCTGCCTTTCTTCTTGCATGTGTCAAAAGGTGTTGGGGGTGTTGACTGTTCAGTCTCAGTCATACACAGGCAGGAAATAAAAGTAAGTAAAAGTAAATAAAAGGATAGAGGGAAAGGTGCCTTTCTCAGGGAAATCAAAGCCCCACCTAAGTCAGTACCTGTCTAACAGTCATTTATCCTCAGGGTGTCAAAGGCCATTTTTTCGTAAGATTTCTTCTTCTTCCTTCATCTTTCCACTACCACTCAATGTTCAGCAGCCAACTCTTTTATTCTCTTTGGGTGCTGCTGCTTTCATTTGCTTTATTCTTCTGCCACCTTTCCCATATTATCAGTGCCTGCCAGTTAAGAATTTCATTCTCTTGCAGCAGTGTAACCCAAAAAAGAATTATGTGGCCCAGAGGAACCTGGGCACAGCAACCTTGTCTTTGTTTGATATGGTGTGGGCCAAAGGGCAGCAAAACCACCAGGTCAGATTTTCCAGTAATATCTGTTTAGTATTATTGATTGTTTGTTGAGTAGTACAGGGTTCATTGTCTGGAAATGACAGAGTTAAGTAAAATTCTGTTTTGGGAAGATGTGGGAGGTTTGCTAAAGAACAGTTGCTCAATTATTCTCATAATGAGAGAAAACACAGGCATCAGGTTTAAAAGAAACAAAAGAAGTCTGTTTTTACACAAATTTGATGACAAATTCATGTCGTTAAACGCCTCCTGACTCCAGTTTAGTCCTCTCCAGCAACAAATCCTATCTCCAGTTAAATTGGTGTTCACTTCAGCGAGATCAGAAATGGTTAAAGGGAAAAAAAGTCGCCTGGTCAGCAGGGAAAAAAGTTTCTTGCAGACTTTTCATGTTTTACCTTCTGCAATGTCTTCAGCAAATTGCTGGAGCTGTCAGGAGGGACCTCAGCTCTGCCAGGCAGGGCTTGGAGCAGCTCTGCCAGAGGTTCTCCCCTAAGCCCAACCTGACTCTCCTCAGCAGATCTGAGAGCCCAAAATGTCACTGCCGGCCCCGCTCTGTCATCTGGGCAGCGGCTCAACAACAGCCAGGCTGATAAAGAGCCTCTCTGCCAGGGTGATAATGCACTGACTCACAGCTCCTTGGGCAGCAGCCTGTCCTCAAGGAAGGCAGCTTTGTAAAAAGTGACATTTTTATTATCCTGGCCTCATTTAACCAAAGATGGGAAATGCCAGAGGAACAGGACGGGGGGTGTGACTGGAAGAGACAGTTTGGCCTCCCAGATCTCTGTGCTGGAGGGGCAGGGATCTATAGACTGCAGGCTGAGCCTTTGGGAGATGCTGGCACATATTACCTGTTTGTGGGAAAGATGCTTATGCTTGGCAGCAGTGGTAGTTTATTACACAGGGAAGGAGTTAACCAAGTCCTTACAGTGCTCCTTTTTGAGCATCTTGTCCTGTGTGCTAAAGTTTCCAGGGCAGTTAAAATAATAATAAGGGAGTGACAGCAAATTTCCTTGTGCCTGGGATCTCACAGACTGTTCATGCCCATATCACAAATTTTACCATTGGGGAATTAAGGTAGAGGGGAAAGCAGTGATTTGCTCAGAATTAGAGAGAAAATACTTTTGGAGAAAATCATTTGAAGCAGAGAGCTGGCTGGTGTGCAGCCACCCAAAGCTGTGCTCAAACTGCTGACCAAGATCATTCTTTTTAAAGAATCTAAAGCAAAAATTCAGCTGCTCAGTTATGTCCAGTAACCACATACTGAGGTTACACTTCTCGTACGGGGGGAGAGTTTAGGATTCAACATCAGCAGGAATTGTGTTGCCACTGAAGCTGCCAGTGAAGTTCTTACCCAGTAGGAATGTTCCTGCTTTAATGGATCACTTCTAAGGTGTTCCTGAAGGTTTCCAGAAAGATTTCAGTTGCCCTGTTGCTGGAGATCAGTAGCACTACAAAAGGGATGTTGCCAGTCCTTGGACTGTTTAGTCAAAGCAGGTTTCTCTGTACGTTCATTAAGGGGCAGTTCCTCTTGCCTGCTCCACCAGAGTGATATTTCCAGGGATTTAGGCTTTTAGACTGTTTTTATTCTGTTCTTTTTAATATGTTTTCAGATCCTTTTGGTCTCTTTGGTATGAACCTAGAAGATGAAACCTTACACTAGATTAATGTCTTGAAACTGCTTTTTCTGGCTTAGTGCCAGTGAAACTCAGCTTCAAACATAACTTTTATAATAAAATTATCTTTAAAGCAGTCCTTTTAAAATTGAAAACATGCTACACTTACCTGGTTTTACATTTAGATTGATTAAAAGCTTTTTATCCAAAAGGAGTAATTTTAGATTAATCAATCAATGCAAACATATATCAAGAGGGATCTTCACAAGAGGAAAGCAAAGAGGTTCTTTGCTACCTGATTCCCTTTCAGGTAGAGGATGGGAGGCTTCTTTTCCTATTAAAGAGGGGGTAAAAAAGTGTGTGATTGTTCTGCCATGTGAAGTGAGAGTCAATGTCATTATTGATACAAATTATTTGACAGATAGTTATTATTTGACAGATAGTTACTGTTTGACAGCCTCTGGCAGGCACTTTACACGTGTGTGGGGACAAACACCACCATGCAGAGGGGTCGGGAGATTCCCATTGCAACAGGCAGTGAAAAAAGATGTGTCTAAATCCCCCATGAGCCAGCTCTCGGGAGTCTTGCCTCTAGGAGGGATGGAAACAGAGGTGGGGGTGAATACTCTGTCCAAATCCTCGGTGTTGCTGTTGGAGAAAGGGAACACCCAACACTGGGGTTATCCGGGATCACTGCAGTGGGGTGGCAAAGCTGATCCCTCCTAACTGATCATCCCAGCACTATTGATCCCCTATTGTTTCCCCCTTCCTGTGGCTGCACTGGCTCAGCCCTGGCCCAAAACCTTCTGAGCAGGCAAATGTGCCAGCGTGCAGCAGCTCTGGGGCTGGGCTGGGACAGATGGTTGGGCTCCTGCGAGCAGGGCCAGCGGGGATGGTTCCAGCAACCGGCTGCTTCCTTGGAGTCACGATTGATGGTGACTTATCCAAGGGCTCAGAGTAACTCCTTGCTGTTAACCAGACTTGGCTGCAGCAGAATGGAAGTGGAAATTTGTTGCCTCATTTATTCATCCTGCCTCTGCTTCCTTCCCGCCCACCCTTCGTGCTTTTTAATACCGAAAAGATGAAGCTGCTTTGCTCGGTCTTAAAATTGTCTTTCCCAAGATACTCTTAATTGTAGCTCTACACCTTTTCTCATTCACAGGAGCATAAGAAGATTAAAGATAGAGGGAGCAGTAATAGATTTAGTTAGGTTTTAATAGGATTTGCAGAGGACAATGCAGAGAATGAATGCCATAGAAAATATTGCTGCTCTATCTTTGATATCCCTAAGGCTGCTTAGGGAGTCTTTGATGGAGATTTTGTCTGTGCCCTGCATCCAGAGTCAAGATTCTCATTTTTTAAAGGAGTATCTAATCATCTTAGTAAACAGGATGTTACATTATAACCTGCAAAAATCATTGCAGCCATCATTTTGTGTTATTTATTTGTGTCTCTGCATGTGGGCAGTGGGATTTTAATAAGTGCCTGGTGATTCTGTCTAATGTCAGGGGTGAGTTCTGAGATCCCACTAACAGCAGGCCTGGATCCATCACACCGGCCCATGTGGAATTCCAGATGCTCCATTCAAGGTCTGGTTCACATTTGAAGCCCCGGCTCACAGAATAAACTTCAGAAATCTGAATTATCCCTGGAGACGCCTCTCTCTGCTGACTCTGAGGGAAACCTTCATGCATAATTTAGCCTTGTGGTGAGGTTTAGGTAGGCAGTGGTGCTCAGCATTTTCTGTTTATTCCTAAGGTTTCTCTTGATATGCACCCAAAACCTGAGGCATCAAAAAACTCCAGTCCCTCTTGAACAGACGTGTTGATGCATCTTGACTTTGTTCCTAGTTCTGATCTCAAGCAAATTTGGTGTTCAAAAAAAATCTAAGGACAAAAAAATACCCCCGAAAATGTTACAAGGTTTAACTATTTCCTGACTCCCAACCTTGCCCATCACCAAATTCTCTGAGGTTCCAGGACTGACTGGCAGCTCATTGATGTTTGAAGAGCCTGTGGATAATAAATCACTATTTAACTTCACATCATTGTATTGATTTAGATTTAGATTTATTATATTTCACAGAATCACAGAATATCACAGAATATCACACAATTTTCTGAGTTGGATCCACAAGGATCATGAAGTCCAGCTCTTAAGTGAATGACACACTCAGGGGATTGAACCCTTGACCTTGGTGTTATTACTACCAAGTTTTAACCCACAGAGCTCATCTCAGGGTCATTATTTATTTATATATTTATATCCTTATATATATTTATTATATCTGCATATTTGTTATATTATTTATATCATTATTTATATATTTGTCATATTATTTATATATCATTGTTTATATTTTATATATTCATTATATTTATATATATGTTGTATTATTTATATAATTATTTGTATATAATTATATATCATTAATTACATATAATACAATTATATATATTCTCTCTATATATTATAGATATTATAGATATTATAGATATTATAGATATATTAACTATATATTATTTATAATCCATATTATAGATAATTATTTTATATCATATAATTATTTGTGTATTTATTATATTTATATATTTGCTGTATTATTTATTTACATTTATTATATTTAACTTAGCAGCATCATATTTAACTAGTGGCTGTTGGGGGAGAAGAGCTGAACCCTCTCAAAGTGTTTCCCAGAACAAGGTCTAATGGTTCAGACAGTGACACAAACGGGGGTTTGTCTCAGCGATTTTCCTTCCATCTTAGACCGCATTTCTTTGTCCTGCAGCCCAGCCATGGCTGGAGATTCCAGGATCTTCATGAACCAGGACATGGACATCGGGGTGACCTCCAGGGAGCCCAAGAAGATTCCCAAGCAGGCTCGGGACGATGTCCCCATCGCCACCGACCGGACGCGCCTCATCTCGGCCGAGGGGAAGAAGCCCCGGCAGCGGTACATGGAGAAGAGCGGCAAGTGCAACGTCCACCACGGCAACGTGCAGGAGACCTACCGCTACCTCAGCGACCTCTTCACCACCCTCGTGGACCTCAAGTGGCGTTTCAACCTCCTGGTCTTCACCATGGTCTACACCATCACCTGGTTGTTCTTTGGGTTCATATGGTGGCTCATCGCCTACATCCGGGGAGACCTGGACCACCTGGAAGATGAGAACTGGATCCCCTGCGTGGAAAACCTCAGCGGGTTTGTGTCCGCGTTTCTGTTCTCCATCGAGACGGAGACGACGATCGGTTACGGCTACAGGGTGATCACGGAGAAGTGCCCCGAGGGCATCGTGCTGCTCCTCATCCAGGCCATCCTGGGCTCCATCGTCAACGCCTTCATGGTGGGCTGCATGTTCGTCAAGATCAGCCAACCAAAGAAAAGGGCTGAAACCCTCATGTTTTCCAACAACGCCGTGATCTCCATGAGGGACGAGAAGCTCTGTCTCATGTTCCGGGTTGGAGACCTCCGCAATTCCCACATTGTCGAGGCTTCCATTAGAGCCAAACTGATTAAGTCCAAACAGACCAAAGAAGGAGAGTTTATTCCCCTGAACCAAACGGACATCAACGTGGGATTTGACACTGGAGATGACAGGTTGTTCCTGGTGTCGCCTCTGATCATCTCACACGAGATCAATGAGAAAAGCCCCTTCTGGGAGATGTCTCGTACCCAGCTGGAGAAGGAGGAGTTTGAAATTGTGGTCATCCTGGAAGGGATGGTGGAAGCAACAGGTAAGGATCTGTCAAGAATCAGTTACAGTTTTGAGGGGGGAAGGGGTAAAACGAGGTGCAGTTTGGAGAAAGATTTTACTGCCAGTGTCACCTGGACTGAGAACAGGGTCCTTTGTCCTTCTCAGGTGGGATGTTGTGCTCTGAGATAACCAGCACTAAAAGATGGGTCCTCGAGCTCCTGTTGCAGTGTTTCACACCCCTTTTGTAAGTCTGGGATTCAGGCAAAGGAATCAGTTGTGGAGCTTCTCATAATCACTTAGAATTGATCCATGGGAAAAAGGAATGGATTAAAGGAATTCCTGAGGTCTCTCGTGGTCCTGTTTCCTGTGATCAAAATTCATGGCACACATCTTTTCCCATTTCTCCTCTGTATTAATAATTGGCTGTAACTGTGCTATTTTAGGTATTGCTGTGGTGTTGCTTTTTAATGGAGGCTGTGAAGTGTCCAGGTCTTACTGTGTCCCATAAACCAGCACGTGCTGGAGCTGAATGATTTGCACGTGGTGCAGGACACATATTTGCAAAAGGAGCTCAAAGAGGAAAAATACAGAAACTGCTGTTGTGCCTCTTGCAGCCCAGCAGCTGTTTAACAGCTTAACCAGAGCTGTGTAATGGGCAGATCAGGAGATCTCTTCAGCCCATTCCCAGTTTCCTCCTAGGGGGGTGCTTGTGGCAGGTGATGAAAGAAGGCTGTGTCCATGTACAATAAATCTGGAAAAGCGCTGGGCCTCAGCTTTCCAGAGTGTGGAAAGGTGGGTGAGTGCATGGATGGCCACAGAGGCCTCCAGGCTCCTTCCCACAGGGACCTCCCAGGCTCTGGATTGGGAGGAGGGTGGCTCTAAAAGTCCTGGCACCATGAGGTCATTTCACCTCTTGCAGCCCATTCCTTTGTTCCGGGGGTGAGGAGGAGCTGGCAGCTCTTCCTGCTGCTCTTCCAGCATGGGGAGGGTATTTAAACACCCTGAGATTCTTCAGGGAGGACTTCCAAGCCCAGGGTGCCTCAGTGGAATCAGGGGCTGGAAGGGGAATGTCAGGCAACTCTGAGGAGGGAAGTGCTGTCTAAAGATGGGGAAACGTAGAATCAACAATCAGTCCCAGTTTTGAGGAGGAAAGAGGTAAAATGAGGGCAGTTTGGTAGTGAGATTTTACTGTCCATGTCACCTGGACTGAGAACCTCTTGGGACAACATCCTGTGACTGAGTCAGGTTCGGGAAGTTGTGGTCTGAGGTAACCAGCAGTGGCAGGTGGGTCCTTTAGCTCCTGGGGCAGTGTTTCAAACTCCTTGTACAAGTCTGGGATTCAGGCAAAGGAGTTGGTCATGGAGCTGCCCATAATCACTTAGAACTGATCCGAGGGGAAAAAAGGAAGCTGCAAAAAGCTTTTATAAGCTGTTTTTCCCCTTGGTGCTTGAGTATTTTAGTTTTGAGGTGGCCCTGTGAACCCAAGGTGGTGCTTGGATTTTTTTTTCCATCTCGATGAGGTTCTCTCTGAACCACTAGCAAGGGTTTTCAGCTTGGTACGAATACTTGGAGGTACCAGCACCTTGTCTCACAAATTCTGGCCTTTGCTTACTATGAATATTATTCTCTTCTTGAGATTTGTCCTTGTTAGGGTCCTAACAGCCTGAGGAAGGGGAGTCTCAAATTCCTGCATCCCAGACTTTTGCTTTTAAAGACAGAGAGAGCTAATTCAGTGTCCCAGTATCTGGCTTTAGTCAGGAGGTGATTAGGACTTTTCCAGAGAGAGCTGTTGGGAGATGATACAGAGGTTACCCTGCACCAGGGCTGGAGTTTGCTCTGCAGAAATGGAATTTATCTGGCACTGCCAGGCAAATGTTCTCCCCCAGCAGAGCACTGGCAAAAGAAGGGGTGGGTGGAAAAGACTGTCAAAGGCAAAGATTTGTAATGGCAGCTTATCTGGGAGCCTGAACATTTACTAGAGACCAGAACCTCTTAATCTGAGCATGGAATGTTGCTGGTTTGTCCAAAGCCTCTTTCCTCGTCACCCAGTGACACCATCAATTCTGTTTGAAGCCCTTTGCTGTCAGTGAAGCTCAGCCTGTGTGAGAGGAAGTCATTATCAATAACAACCTCGGAGTTAAAAGCATGGCATAGGAATAACATTGCCTTACAAATGGGCTCCTGTCCCAGAGGGATTGCACGGATCTGTGCAAATGAGTTATGCTGGGCTCAGCCAGGCTGGGAAAGGAAAAACTGGAGCTGGAAGAGGCAGTTTGCACTGAACCCAGAGCTGGATGGACCTCAGGTGGTCCCGTGAGCCAGTTCTAGGCTGGGATGGGCTCTGAGGGACATATGGCAGCCAGGCAGGGGGGGTTTGTCACAAGGAGAGTCTCTTGCAGAGACTGTTTGTGCCTTCCTGCTTCATCCTCACACTTGGGAATACTGATAAAGCACTTTGGGGGATATTAATCCCAACCTTTATACCTTAAAATCTGCTCCAGTAAAATTCTTTAGGTTCTTCCCTTCCCATGTCACTGTGCCAGCCCCATCTGCTCCCAGGGATGGTGTCATGTACTCACAGCAGGACTGCTGTTAAATCATGACACTTACAGCCTGGACTGGGTCAGGGCAGTATAAAAATACAGCAGATCATTTGTTTCCTTAGTAACCCCTATGAAAAATCAGGATCCACCACCACAGGGTTCCCTGGCCAGGATATCCAGCTCCATTCATGGGGCACGAGGGGTTGTGAGTCCTGTGTGCTCAGCTCTGCACTTGTGGGCAGGAATAAAATTAATGGAAACTCAGTCCATGTGTACAGACAACAGCAAATCCCACCATAAATGCAGCCAGTGCTGGGGCAAACACAACTGTATTTTTTGTAAGGTATTTTGGAAACAGGTGAAAAAGGTGATTGGCAACATATAAATGACAAGAAATTTAAGTGTGATGTCTTGACTAAAAGTGTGAATACTTTTCACTGATAATTAGGGACAGCAATATTTTCAGTAGATTTAACCAGCCACACACATATTACAAATGAAATGTATCATCTCTTCTCAAACGAGTAGCTCTATTTACTGACATTTAAGTTTAATTCTGATCCAGTGGAAAGCAAAGACAGTAAATTGTTTCAAGTGAAAAGTGTAGAGTAAATTCTGAGGAGTTCACACCCTTCAAGTAATTGGTCTTTTTGTTTGTTTGTTTTTTACAAAACAAAACACTGTGGTTTAAAACAATGTTTTTGTTTTCAAGTTGACTTGAATTTTCAAAAGCCTGAATAACAACACACTGAAGAACAGCAGCACAGCAGCCAGGCTAAAATGTGATGTTGTTATTTTGCTGGAAAACACAATAAACATTGTGTTATTGTAGTGAGAGCTCTCCAGGGACTCGGGGCTGCTCCCACAGAACCAGCTGTGGCACAAAGCCCATGGATGTGGGTCTTTCCCATCAATATTTGAGTCTGGGTGAGGCACTGGGAGTCCCCAGGAGGATATAAAAGGCCAAAGGGGTGGGTAGATTCTCGGCAGATCTTTTGGGATCATTGGCAGTGAAAGGGGCACTGTAAAGACAAGATCAGTATAGATGAAAAGTGTTCTGATCCCAGTGCTGCTTCTGTGCAGCAGCAACACTCCCAGAGAATCCTTAATGGGCTGGGCCAGGGATGACTCCAGGGAATTCATTCCCTTTGGCCTGAGCAGAAAGGGACACTTGGCCAGCTCAGCTGCCCCCAAATCTGCCCTGCAATAAAAAGGAGTGAATGGACTCCTGGTGCCACTGCCTGCAAACAAAATCTTGGAGCCATCCTGTGGAAGGAGCAGCTCCAGGTGCTGTCAGCCAGAGCTCTGCCCTTCCCTCCTGATCCCAAATGGGACAGGGTGTGCAAAGCAAAGCTGCTGGGACAGGCAAGAGCAGGAGGGATTCAGACCCCTCTCCCCGTGAGGCAGAGTCAGCTGGGTTGTGATGGGGAATTTGGCTCGTCCAATTAGGGAGCCCATGGTTTTAATTATTATTTTTTTCTACAAGCCATCACACAATGTGATGACATGCTCTGCAGATCCTACAAGACCTTCCCTTCCCTTCCCTTCCCTTCCCTTCCCTTCCCTTCCCTTCCCTTCCCTTCCCTTCCCTTCCCTTCCCTTCCCTT